ACTTTATATAATAAGAGGGGTTTGTCAAGGTGATTAAAGTGAGGACCATTAAAATGATTAAAATGGGGAAAATTAGGGGTAAGAATCTGGGCTGCAACCCAGAAGGCATGCAGTCCAAATCCACCAGCTTCTCCACGGGAGAAGACGGGGCAATCTCCTCGGGTGCGATTAACTGCCTCTGAAAACTTGCCAGAGGGTCAGCAGTGGGTTGGTTCCGATGCGCTGGTATACAACAGTGACAATGTGATCACAAGGGTCTTCAGAGCAGGGAGCTCTGGTGCAATGTCCTTCGGGTGTTGAGCTGCTAACACAACAGTGGCATCTCTCTAAAGGCTCTTTTGGGAGAAAGATGGACAATCCTCTTCCACAAGGTTAACAGTGTGGAAAAGTGCTGAAGGGTCAGCTATGTGTCAGTTTCGACTCAACAGCAACACCTTAGGGGGGAAGCAGGAGAGTTGGAGTCAGAGAAGGAGATGTGATGGAAGCAGGTAAAGAGAGACTGAAGGATGCTACCTTGCCGGCTTTAAAGATCGAGGAAGGGGGGGCAGAAGCCAACTGGTGTAGATGACCTCCTATTCGTGCTTTTAAAGTTGATTCTGATTCATGGTGACCACAAAGCAGAACTGCTCCAGGTTTTCAAGATGAATGTTTTGGAAGCAGATGGCCAGGCCTATCATCTGAGAAGACACTGCGTTGTTGCTGTTGTGTGCTGTCAAGTCAAAACCACCCTTAGGTGACCCTCCAGCAGGTTCACAGAGACAGTGAATCACACAGGAGATTGCCCATCCTTCTCTGGAAGAACAGCTGGTGGATTTGAACCATGGAGAAGACTCCAGGTGGGTTCATATGGACAACCTTTCAGCTAGAAATTGAGTGTTTAACTACTAGTTATTTGTGGCACTTGGGGACACCCATCTCTGGATGCTAGAAAAGGCAACAATTACAGAATCCCCACAGCCAAAGTGGCATGCCAATTTGCCTTTATTTTAACCCCAAGAGATGAGACTCCTGACCTAGAAAACTCTAATAATCTACACTGTTTTAAGCTACTACAGTTGGTGCTAATTTGTTACTTCAGCTGTGGGGTATAGGGTACAAATCCAGAAAGTGTCATCGGAGATAAGAAGACATGGAAACCAAGCTCCATTAAATGGACCAGGCAGAGAAAGGGAACCAATTTCTAAGACAGGAGCTCTGATTATGGGGAAAATTATCGATGCCTAGAGGTGGAGGGGGGCGTGGAGAGGAGTCAGGAGACGAGGTGCTCAAAAGAAGCTTGGGCCTAGAGTCCTTGCTGTGTGTTGGGTTGTTGGGGCCAAATGGTTAACACCTTCTCTCCATATGACTTCTTAACCTGTGTTTCTTTAACAATGAGGACAATTACGGAATCTTCAGTAGAGGATTTTAAGAGGACTAAAAATGACCTGTACAGAGGTCAAACTCTGCAGCTAGCACACAGTTAAGTCCTCAATGAACACTAGTGATGATTATTTCTATTATGTTATTGAGGCGGACCCATAGAGGTTGTGCAATAGTGGGAAAAGACTACACGTTTCCAAGCACTCTGGGTCGTAATCTTTACACCCCATACTGCGCTGACTCTTTCTTGGTGCTGTTAATCCCAGAAGATATCTTTACATTTCCAGAACCATTCAATACGTCATAGTCTAAGGGGGAAAGAGCTTGGTTTTTGGCCCTGGGATTTACTGAGGCAGGCAGCCTTCATTCATGGAAATTCTGCCAGTGTTACAAGCAGAGCAGAGGCCACAGGTCTCTGCCTGGGCTGCAGAGAGCTCCAGTGCACAACGTGAGGAAAACCTTTGACAAGGTTGAAAACCTGTGAGGCAGCTCTTTGTCATCTTCTTCACACGTCTTCTCTCTTAGCACTCTGGGTCCTGGAAAGGCCCGCTGATTACCCTCATGGACTACTCATCTCTAGTTCCCCAACTTGGCTTCAGTCTCCTTCACAATCAAATAGAGAACCACAGCACCCTGGGTGCTATCAATGGGAAAGGTCCGACTGCCTTCCTTTTGACATACTGAGTATTACTAGGCTTGATCGGCCACAGCTCCCAGCTACATCCTCGTTCGGGCTTCTCAGTGCCACACTCAGTGCTGGGAGCCAATGCCAGGCTGGCCATGGGCTCCCGCTGTGCCAGGCTAAGGTGTCAGACACTGGAGACAAACGATAAAAACAGTAGCGTCCTTGCCTTTACACGTATACAGCTGAGTGGGCAAAAATCAGGGGAAGATATTTATCAACCCTCTCTAAACCATCTCTGTATTGTGTAACAGGCTTTCAAACTCAAAGGAATGACTGTCTCAGACCAAAGGGCTGGGAAGGACTCTGTGACACCCATAAATTATAACCTAAGCAGCTGCCTGTGCTGCTTCTGCCTCAGGTTAACTCTGGCTGCCCTTCAGCTTCGGTCATCTTTCTCTGTACAAAGTGCAGAGGGCAAAGCCTGGAATCAATGTCTACTAGCTCTATGACCTGGACAGACGTTACTCATCTCTCCAAGCCTCAGCTACTTCATCTGTAAAATGGCTACATAAAACGGCTTTGCACGGCTAAAAGGATGTAAGAGGTAGAGCGGCTGAACTGTTGCCGCAGATGATAGCTGCTTTCTAAATGCTAGGACCAAACTCTTTTTCTGTGCTCTTGTTTGCTCAGAGCCAAAGAGAATGAAAGTCAGATCTTGGGTCTCTTTGAGAAAAGAAGGCTTCGTCCTCCAGGATACTTGGGCCAGGTCTCTAAGACATAAAAGAAAGGAAGGCTACAAAGGATCTCCCACCTTTTAATGTTTTTTAATAGGGGGTACAGAGACTCCAATTAGGGCAGTGGCGCCAAGAAGGAAACACAAGAGCAGGCTCTGTGTGTTGTCCTCCTGCTGAGAGCAAAGCGCAGAAGGGCACAGTCAGCAAAGGGTTACCTTCCACTGCAAACGCCCATCCCCCTTGCTGCCACTTTGCGTTAAAGGGCCAGTCACTGGGGAACAAGCGAGTCAGTGACAGCTGCTCTCATTAAGGCTTGGCTTCCTCAACTTTTCTGTCTTTGACAAAAAGGAAAGAAAGAAACGACAAAAGCCATCCAAATAGCCATCCCTTCCGCTAGAGTTCCCATGCAGAGGCTGGCATGCAGTTCAGATGTGACTTTCTTCTAGGTACCCATTTTGATCACCCCCAACTCTCTCCCTCTCTTCTTGACCTGAGAGCCCCCTGCCTGCCAGAGAGCACCCAGCATAGGTGATTTCTGAGGGGCTGCCTCATATTGTGGTTCCTGTTCTTTGTCTGACAGTGTGAGCAGCTAGATTGGGAAGGGATTTGTTTGAGAGCAAGGACTGTGACTTATGCATCTCCACACCATCAAGAGAATGCCCCCTCTGCTATCTGCAAGAGAAGGCTGGTCAACTCATTAACCCCAGGTTTTTGTTTACCAAAGGAGCCTGTGCTTACTTGAGAACTAGATTCCTGAGAGACCTTGTGAAACAGACAGAATAACAAATGGTCCTGGTTCCCAAGAAATTACAGTCAAAAGGGCAGCACAGAAACATCTCACTAGAAAATGATCAGTGTCATGACAGAGGAAGAAGGGGCCCTAGTGTAATATGCGACTCGGTTGAGCCATGAACCAAAAGATCAGCAGTTAAATCCCATCAGGCATTTCAAGGGAGGAAGAGGAGTAGTCTCCTCTCGGAAGGATGCTCAGCCTGCGAAACCAAGTGAGTGGATGTCATGAGCTGGAACTGACTTGTTGGCAGCGAGTATGTTTTCTATAATAAAAGCAAGTGGGGAGAGGTTGCTATACAGAGGCATGTGCTGTAGCCCGCCTTGGAAATCAGAACAAGAACTAGGACCTGGTTAAGAGCTCTCTCCTGTTCCTAATCCTTACTGTGAATAAGCAAGAATTATACTAGTAACAATGCAACCAACAAGTGTGGTCTGAAAGCAACCAGCCATTGTTTTCAGAGATCCCAGACAGACTGAGAGTGTCTCTTAGTGGGCCCGGGTCAGGATGACGTCAAAGAAAGTGTTCAGCTATGTTTGTAGGGAAAAGCCTCAAAAGTTTTAGAAAATAGGAAAAAGTGAGGTGACTAGGGAAATGGAGGCTCAGAGAGGTGGTAATCACTCACAGGAAGTCAGAAATAAAGAATAAAGAGATGTCCTGGAGAAAGTGCGCCAGAGTGCTCCTTAGAGGCAAGGATGGTGAAGCTTTTCCTCACGTATTTTGGGTTGTGGTTATGATGGACCATTCCTTAGAAAGGGCAGCAGAAGAGAGGAAAACCTTTAACCGCAAGGACTGATATCATGAATACAGCCAAGTATGTCAAGAGATGATGAGGATGGCAACAGGATAGGACAGAGTTCAGAACCATTCTTGGCAGGGTCACTGAGTCAAACTGAACTTGATAGCACTTAACAACAACAAAGGGTGGCTCATCCACCTGGGATGTGTCAGAACACAGTTCCATCTTTAGAAGTTCTGTGATTAGCTATGCAAGGTCCTCAATCTACAGAAAGTCCATCCTCACTCCATACAGAGTTAGGGTCTGACCAAGATACCGTGAAGGTCACAGAGGGAAAGATGCATTTTCTGCAAGGAGTTGAGACAGCTGAATCAAATGTGTCTGTCAAAACAGCACTGAGCACCAGATGAGGCAAGAGATCCAGGCCCTTCTGGTAACTTGCCACATGACCTCAGCAAGTTTTTTCCCCTCTCTCAGCTTACATTTCCTCATTTATGCAATGAGGGTGTTAGACAATATCTAAAATTCCTTCCAATTCCAATAATCTGTGAGTCCAGTTTACAGACCATGCTTGCTGCTCAGCCACAGGATGGGAAGAGACGGGAATGTTTCTTACTTTACTGGAGAGGCTCTGAGATGGCCAAGCAGGGAACAGGACTGAGAGCGCTCTGGATCTGGTCACTGAGCCGGAAACATTTAACAAGGAAGCAGTCTCAGACTGGGCTGGTGTAATGAGGACAAAATGCTACTTACTATGCAGCAGGCCACCAGGGCCCCTTGAACGAATCCTGCCAGGACATCACTGGGATGGTGCTTGTGGTCAGAGATGCGTGACAGGCCCGTGTAGAAGGCCATCATGAGCAGCGTGAACTGCAGGAGGGGCCGGAGCAGGCGGGCACCTCGCCAAGTGAAGCGGGCCTGCAGGTACAGCTGGAGGGAGGAGAGAAAAGGAGACTGTAAGTGGCAGGCCATACACCCGCACTGGAGCACCCACTGGACCACACACGCTTTGCTTCAGCCAAATGGAACCACTGGGACCTTGAGGGTATGCTATAGGGGCATTTAACTCCGATATGACCCCAAGTCCCTTAATGAAACTCACTCTGAGCCTTAATTCTCATACTAGAAAATATGTTACCCAAGGAGGGTCAAGAGAAATGGTACAGATGAATGGCTGCAGCAGACTTCATGGCTCATAAAGCGAACACACGAAAAACAGTCACAGAATCATTTCTAACTCATGTGACCTCATGTGACTCAAACTACAATTGTTTGTTCCATAGCATTTTGGGTTTTTTCCCCCCCATGTATGGTGGTGGTGTTATGTGCCATCGAGTTCCTTGCAACTCACAACGACCCTATGAAGCCCTGAACCCTGCTCTATCCTGAGCCAACTTCATTGTCTCTGACACCCTGCCCTCGTCACCCCACTCACTGAGTCAATCAATCTCATCCAGGATCCTGTATTTATTTTTAGAGAATGCATAGATAGTGCTTGTGAATGTATAACTACAATTCATTTTTTCCCTTTTTATTTGTATCAAAGTTTATAAATCATATTGGCTTTTCATTCACAGATATTTTATTTTATAATATTAATTATAATTGACTATAGCATTATCAATGGCCAATTTTTGGGGAAGTAGATGCCCAAGCTTTTCTTTGAAGGTGTCTCTGGTAGAACTTAAAACTTCAATCTTTCAGTGAGCTGCTGAGTGCATTAACCCTCTGTATCATCCAGGGAATTGGAATTAACGAATGGGAGGTTCTGAAAGAAACTCTACCTAGAATTAAGGGCACAACCTTTGTACCACCTGCCTCTCAAAATTACCATAGGAATAAAAAGCATGACACAAATGTAAAGGGTGGTTATCACAACACTTAAAAAGTTATGCTGATGCTGAGTGAACTAACTCAGTCTCATAATGACAAATACTGCATAAGATTATTGTAAAAATTGAAGGGATACCTAGTAAGCCATGCATGGAGATCCAAGCAAGGAAGGGATGGGAGTAGAGGGGTGAGGATGGGCAAGGAGGAAATCACAGGGCCGTACAATTTTGTGGGCAGACAGAAAAGGTAAAGGAAATGGGAAAAATCTGGTGGTAATCTGGAAAGACGAGGTAATGGTGGAGATAGTTCAATGAGGATTAATTTTATAAAATACAATGTATAGGGATGGTTGTATGAAAAACAATATGAAGGATACTGTGAAACACAATGTGTGTGTGTGTGTATATGATTTTTATATACAAACCAATATAAAATGAATCTTTTTTTTTAAAAAAAAAAAGAAAAGTTATGCTGCCTTTGCCTCAAAGGACAGTGATACTATTGAAGAGCTGGTTTCTATACCATTTCTATAGATCTTTGGATTTCAAATAAGAATATAAGGAAACACATAAACCAACAAGACAATGCCAGAGAACTCTCAAATAAAAGTTGACAGATGCTGAACTGGGTGAGGCAGAAGATTAACCTGAAGAAAAAGGTGGTGGGTGTGTGGGGGACCCCCAGCACAACACTCCCGACGCAAGTAAAGAAGTGAAATGACGTCAACTGGGCATTGTCCACTTGGAGTTATCTTGCTGCTGTTTCCGTTCTAACCTCCTCTGGGCACAACCTACTTCCCAGGTTCCTGTGGGAACTTGGGGAATGAGAAGGAAGAGGCAAGGAACTTCCGACTACAAATCAAAGGAGAGGCCAGGAGAAAGGGGAAGAGAGCAGAGGGGAGGGGTCTGGGGGTCTAAAGATAGACTTGGTACAGTGGCAAAGGCGTGATGGGGCCCTTCCTGAGACAAATGGACACCTTCCTTTTGGCGGCTAGGAAAGAGTAAGTGTTCATTGCTCTTGAGACAAAAAGAATGGAAGATCACAGAATCACTGACTCCTGGTTGCACTGGGTCAGTCAACAGCACTGAATCTTCAGCTTTTTGGGAAACTATTTTTTAAAAATTTGGGCCATTTTATAATTAATTGTTTTGAAATTGTACTAATGTACTACAGGAAAATCTAAGAGTAACAATGGGGGGAAAGATAACATTGATTTCTGTTGTTGGAAGCTACTAAGAATGATAAAAAAAAAAAAAAAAATCAACACTTTCCTCAGACGCTAATATTTAAAAAATCCAGAATCCACTGCCACTGAGTCAATTCTAATTCATGGCTACCTCCATTGAGTTTTCAAGGTTGTCAATCTTTACAGGAGGAACCTGCCTCATATTTCTCTCAAGAGCAACTGGTGGATTTGAACCAGGGAATCTTGAATTAGTGTAACTCATAACACCCCACCTTACCAGGGATCCTTCTGATACAAACAAAGCTAATTAAAAACCTAAAACCTAAAAGGGAAAAGGAAACACTCATAACAAGATGATTAAAGAAATAGTAATTAATTTACTAAAATCTAAACAGAGCTTTTATGAAATAAAGTATACAAAGGGCAACGACAATACAGAGACCTAAAACTGAATTTATACGAATATTAAATTTATAAATAAAAAGTTACAGACTTAAAAACAACAAGCCATCATTCCTGCCCTTGGTGCATCCAGTTGGGGAATATATGAAGACAGGTGAGCACACTGTAGTGCTTCACATGCTTCAGGGAAGGGAGCTTTGGTGGTGTAGTCCATCGGGAACTGTGCTACATACCCAAAGGCCACATCTCTGTGGTGCTTCAAACCCACCAATGGTTCTGAGGGAGAAAGATGGGAATCTCTTCCCGTACAACTAACAGACTCAGAAATCCACTGGAGTGTCAGCTATGAGTCAGTTCCAACTGTAGAGCAATGAGTAAGAGTGCAGAGGAAGCTGTAGGGTCAATGTCAGTTGCTAAGGGGTCAATCTAGGAGATGAACAGGTGTTTGCTGGGCATTAAAGAGGATAGTAGTGAGGGTCTGTGCACAGTGCAGGAGGAGCCATGGTGTAGAGGCAGCGACTCCAGTTCCCAAGAGCAAGTAGCTTAGTCTCGCTGGAAAAGGCAGAGTATGAGGGGTGATGAGAAACAGGGCTGGAGAGGCAAGTAGGAGCCAGATCAGGAAAATGTCAACCAAAGGACTTGACCTTTATTCAGAAGGCCAGTGTCTCCAAAGCATTCCAAGGAATACTAAGGGCTTGCAAAAACCAAACCAAACCAAATCAAACCCACCAAAAGCAAACTGATAAATGGTCTGTACTAAATTTTTAGTTTGGCCATTTACATTGATCCAAGGCTGATTGGTTCTGAGAAATCCTGTAGAAGATGGACTTATTTGGCCTTAAGTCATTCACTGTTACAGAACACTTAGCTACTGAATCATGACAGGGAGATACTGCTGTAGGCATTCTTGAGAGATGTTATGTTTTGAAGCAAGGCACTCAGTATTTATAAAATAATAATAATGACGTGGCTGCTTTTCAAGAGCACTGGGCAAGTCAGGGTCATTAGAAACAATATTAAAAAATCACACAAAAGATCAAAGCTTAAGCCAAAGATGACTCCTCATTTCTACTGAAATTCTCAATAAATGGGAAGGCAGTAGATTGCCACCATGTATCAAAAGACCCCCTTTTTTTTTCTGGGAGCGAGAACGGAGATGATGCTGGTCTAACTTGTACTCAGCAAGTCGGCAGGGCAATGGTGAGATCAAGGCGCAGGACTATTCCATTCGGAACACATCCACTAGTCTGGGTTTGCTCCAACGGAGCTGGGTGGTGTTGGTAAGAGAAAGCATACACTTTAATCAGAAAAACCTCACTAAGACTCTGTGGTATTTTTCTTTTATAAAATGGGCTTCAAAACCACTATTTTTCAGGGTTTTGATGTAGATCTCTAGATCAAGTGCCTGGCACCCTTAACAAATTGCTGATGTTGCCGGGTGCTGTTGAGTTGATGCCAACGTAAGAACTGCCCTAGAAGGTCTGTTTTGGCTGCAATCCCGAGGAAACAGATCACCAGGTCTTTCTCCTGGAGAACCACTGGCTCAATTTGCACTGCTAGCCTTTTCGTTAGCAACCAAGCACATAACTACTGTGCTCCCAGGGCTCCTTTGTCAATGAGCGATGATTTTATTCTCCAGTTATTTATTTATTTTTTTATTTGAGCCCAGCAGCACTGAGATATTTTTCTTTCCCTTGCCGGTTCAGGTCTTCAGAAAACATTTCTTCACAATCTAAGCCTCCTCCCTCAACCCCCAGCCCATGGTTAAGGGTCTTGGGAATCAGGGTGGAGCAGAGGAAGGGTGGGTTTCCCAACCAGACAAGGCAGACATCTCCCCTTCCACTAATTCTGCTACTTAAGGCTGGAGTTTAATATGAGAAAAAACAAACAAAACAAAAACAACCCAACAAAAAACAAACAAACAAACACCAAACCAACCAACACACAAAAAACAATCAACCCCTAAATATTTAAGAGGAACTTGGAGAGAGAGGAAGAGGACAGTCATCAGAATAGCTTCAGGAAGGGAGTGGCTATGAATGAGAAAGAAGAGTAGGGGGCCATGAGAAAAGAATGCATTTGGGAAGCAGTTTGACATGGGATTGTAGTCACCAAAGGCAAGCCATGTTCCTTTCCCCAATGACACAGCCCCAATTCCAGGCTTGGCTCTTCTACTTATCATGTATAAAGTTAGGGAGTGGCTTAACTTCTCTAAGCATCTATAAAATAGAGATAAGCTTATCTCCAGGTCAGTGCTGATAGGCTCAAATGAGACAATATTCCCGCTACTCCTCCTGGCATGCAGAAGGCATCCACCACATTCCAGAAATCCACATTCCAGAAATCAAGGTTACCCTTGAGCTTTAGTAGATTTACTCAGCCATTTCACCAAAACAAGTTACCAGCGCAAGAAGTGGCATAACCCCCTCTTGTTCAGTGGCTACACTGTGTTTGAAAAGTAAACTTGTGGTCGTAGGCTTTGAAATTAACCCAAGGATCTGATAATTCA